TATGCACATCGAATATACACCGTAAACTGTGTTTCAAAGCCTCTGCCAAATGTGTAAACATAAATTTTGTGAATTAAAAGCAGAAAAAATAGTGGGTAATTGCTATTTGATTGGCATCGACGTTTATCATTTCATGATAACTCACGCAACATGACAATGCCATTATTTACTGCAAGCTAGAGGGTGCTAACCAACACAAACTTACGGCAATTCGTAACTTTTTGATTTAATGGTTAATTTGTATGAATTTGTACGATCTAATTCGTACAGTTTAGTACAATTCAAGAGTTCACACTTAGCTGATGATTGATAATAAAGCTTGTTTGGCGTGATGTCCCGGAAGAGAGCCCGGAGCTTATAAGATCCTCGAGCCCTGGGCTCCCTTCTGTTGCAGGGCGAGAGTGGAGTTTAAAGATCTCGATGACTCCCACTTCTGCTTATTGTAGCTAAGTGTCAGATATGGATGCTGAGAAGGAGTACTCAGAGCTTGCCTAAAAGTATTTTGGATTGTTTAGGGTGCTTGTTTTTGAACTGTGGGAGGAAATCGGAGAACCCGGGGAAAACCCATGCGAACACGAGGAGAACGAGCAAAACTCTGCACAGAAATGTCACCTGGTTTGGAAGGGAATTAAACAAGGGGCATTCTTGCTGTGAGGCAACAGCGTTAATCACTGGCCACCGTGTCGCCCGTTTGTATGGAGGGAAAGTAGGGTTGGCTGGGTTTCTTCAAGACAAAGATATTGAGATGAGAAAAGTCTGGTTATTTATAGTGTGTTAAGGATCGTCTGGTAGGATAATTAGTTATTAGCTAAAGTTGGAACAGCTGTGAACAATCATAAGCACGTGATCCTCTCGAGATTTGTTTTTAAATAAACTTCACTTCGCTCATCACCCAATGACGGTTGGGGTTAGGATTGGGGTTGGGTGCCACGCCTCCTTTTTGAAATCGCTCATTTTCGTACGACTGAATTAACCACAAAACTGACATAACGTAAAATACTTACGTTTCCTCGTGACATCAGGAGGGTGCTAACATAACATGACACATAGTTTGCAACAAGCTGCTTACACAAACAGCCTATTTGGTCATCTTTTGGTGGTGGATATTTTATACAGCATCTAAAAAGCTATAATTATGTGTGATAATGTTCTGTGTAATATAAGCATGTCCTGCAGCTTCCTCATTTACATTCTGAAACTAAATCCTGATTTGCTGTCATTTGTTTACTCTGAGCTAAAGAAACAAATCATTCAGAAATTGATTCCAATATTATTCATATGTGTTATAATAGTTGTTGTGTTGAGTTCCCTATTCTCACACAGTATAACTTTAAATATTTGTATATCTTCTGTATACAGTATAAGAACATGGGAAGCATAAATGAAATTCAGACATACTACATCTGCCACACTATTACTGCACATCATCAATATAGCATCACTTCTTATCATTCACAACTCCTCTCCTATGGCCTCATGACATAGCAAACTGCCCATTGAAGGCAAATCCCACCATATCAGTGAAAGTAGTATGTTCATCCTGGTACTTTTCGCCAGGTGTTTTTCTTATACTATGACTTTTGGCCATATTAAACATATTCAGTCTCAGCATTTACATTAAAATTACTGTCCTTGATATGAATGGCCCTAAAACAGGACATCGTTGATGTCGGTTTTCAAGTCCCTCAAGTATCTTAAAATTTACATAAAGCAAGGTTAGTTCAAGTTTTAAAAAATGTTGTGTTGTAATTCCTAATTGTATTACTATTAGATAAGTCACCATCTGTGACTGACTCCTGAGCAACTGGATGTCATGTTGTCCTCCTTAGGGTATCAGATCACAACCCAGGATCTTAAAAAGTTGTCAGTTTTCACTCTCCCTGATCTGGGGCAATTGGTTGCGCCCAACGGTCAGAAGCCTGCAGGTCAGACAAATACTGCTTGGCAAGGTAAGGGGGAAGGGAGCTTTGCCAGAGGTGTCCATTACCGACAATCTGCAAACTGTGCCAGGAGCTGCTCTTCACAGCTTTATTAAGACAGAGACTGTCGCTGGCCTTGCTTATTGTTATGCTTTGTGTCTGTCGCTGTCACTATGAGTTGGCTTTTTACCATTTTATTACAATCACCTGACTCTTTTATCTAAGGTTTTGTAGTTCAAATGTGTCATTTCCATTGTTGTGTGGTTTAATACTCTTTTAAAGGTTGTAATGAGGTTCGAATCTACTCACGGGAGTTTTTAAGGATCACTAGGGCCAATAAAATTTAACACAGGGATTGTAAATTCAGATACCTTTTAATATACTCCAGTGTGTACATTATTTTAATGTTCTGTTATCAAAAGTTGATGTTATTTAAATAACCTTTCTCACATGGACCTGACGTACTTCATTGGTCTGATTAGATCCTTTTTTAATGAATTTTCTTTGCTTTTGTTGCAGTTTCTGATCTCTTCCAACACCTTATGAGACTCGAATGTATACTCTCACTGTCTTAAATAAACCATTGTCATTGAGTTTGTGCGATTCACTCTCAAATATGAAACTCGTTTATTTTATTTTATTGACAAAAAACTGTTAGACAGACCCAAGAAACTCTGCCACATTGGGCAGCGGTATAATTTTGTCAATCAGGGAAATTCAAAGCGATGAGTGGTGCTCTTATCAAGTCCTAATTTATGCCACTTGTAGACTAACATTGTCTCATTACAGTGTGCTTGACGCTCCCTAAACGACAGCTTCAAAATGGCTGATGGTGGATTTGGGATGAAGGAAACAGACAGTGAGTGTTATTTCACAGAGTACATCAAACTGAAGGCAGAAAGCTTTTAACCAAGCATCTAGGCCTGAGGATTTTCCCAGTTTTTTTTTTTTTTTTCACAGCAGCTAATCAGTGACTTTATTCAGTGCACTTGCAAAGTGGTGGCATCAGGACCTAAATTTACACTTACCAAGATCCAAATTATATATATATATATCATAAGACGTTAATATTAGGTTAGATTTAGGTCATGATGTCAGGTGACCAAAATTCAATTTCTAGCCAGCATCTAAGGACGTCATTTTGACGTACAATAATGATGTCAAATTACATTGATATTTGCCGATTTTAGGTTGTGTTGGAAAGTGACCAAAAACCAACATCAGACAGATGTCACGTCCACAAAACATAACGTCCACACAACATCAAGGTGTATCATGATTAGACGTTAATATTTGGTTGATTTTAGATTGATTTTAGGTTGGACTTTGGACATTGAAGTCAGCCTGACGTTGAGTTGTGACGTCTACCCGATTTTCATTTCCAAACAAAATCCAACATTCCCACAACGTTGGGGTACAACGTCAATATGACATCATGTTAATGTCCTGTGCCTGCAGGGTTATTATAAACTTGGGAAGATGTTCGATGCAAGTAGCATTTTCAAAGACTCAAACTCACTGCACTGCAGAGGAGTTTGTAGGTCATTTTCTTGTAAAGACCCTGAAAAAAAATTATATATATATATATATATATATATATATATATATATATATATATATATATATATATATTTATTTATTTATTTATTTATTTATTTATTTATTTTTTTTACTTCAGGGTCTGAGTTCACAAGAAAATGACCAACAAACTCCTTCTCTGAGAGTGCAGTGAGTTTAAGACTTTGAAAATACAACATGCGCAATAAAAGCATAACAATTTAATATTTGAAACAAGATTTAAAAAACAAACATAGTTTTGTCATTTTAAAACATTTTTTTTAAACTGCAATTAGCTTTTTATGGGAAACTTCACCATTTAACAGTACTATAGTGATCATTATTTATTATAAATTAATTATTATTCATAATTAGGCTATAAGTTTTCATTTTAATAATTTGCATAACATCTTAGAGAATTTTAGTTCACAAGCAGGTGCGGCCAAAATGCTTGTTTTGGGGGTGCTTCTTGACATTATGATACAAATATGATGTGCTTTAATATTTTGACAATATGGCAAAATTAAGGTGTGGTAATTTATCTTTATTTTTAAAGGTGGCTGTGTGAAAAGCCTCAGTAACGGGCACGTTTAACTCCACTTTTGCAGATTTCCAATTACAAGCCGAACTTCGTGATTTAAATTACTGTGTGTTTAATTAGACAATCACTGTACTCCACCAGTTTCCCCTTCAATTAAAGGAGGAAACAGCTCCTCCCGTGGGCCAAAGGCGGAAATGCAAGGTTAAGTCAGTCCATTCGTCAACAAATAACAGCTCCAAATGTAAGAAATATATTCGAGAAAGGGGATTTCATCAATAAAGGGAACAAAACAAGCTAACGGAAACATCTCACACGCGGTGGCCTCCGAAAAACACACGACCGTTTGTTTTGAAGCTATGCAATCTTGCATTTATCATCATAATACACAAATGTGAGCATACATCCCTGTGTAAACAGGCACGACGGACTAGTATCCCAGACAATCGCAGCATGTCTCCATTCAGTGCCGCACGCCCCTTTTCGAAGCTAACTGCAATTGTGGACAGTCTCATCAATGATCTACCGCCTCGAATCCCGCAATACATCATGGATGTTCAAAGCATAAGCGCTTTTTATGGCACACAAAAATCATTTGTCATCAAAGGAGCATCAATCGATTGCAATAGCGACCAACACACGCCTTCAATTGTCTTGCTCGTGCACTTATATGAGATGATGCAAATACTAGCAGGTGCAATAACACATTGTCAAGTGGATGCATTTGATGGTGAAGAAAATTACATCAGTGACATTAATGTTCATAAGCACGCTAAAGCATGGCGCTAGTACGACTAAAAAATCACGGGTTCGATCTTAACAATCGCCCATATTCTGATTAAAACGTATGCATCGATGTGTGTGTGTGTGTGTGTTTGTGTGTGTGTGTGTGTGTTTGTGTATACAGCATCTCCTAAACGCGTAAATAAAATGCGCGTCCATCCAAGCAGCCTGATGCAGAATTAAAATACTGCACTTCAACTCACCTTGAGCTGCCGTTCCTCGGGTGCTGAAAACACTTGCTATCAAAGTGGCCACATACCAAATCATAGTACTATTGCCAACCAGGAATAATAGCTCAAAGTGCCCCTTTCAATAAATCTTTCATATTCAGCTTCCTCCGTTTCCAGACTGATACCCTGCTTATATCATATCCTGTGCTCTCCTCTCTCTGCGTTTTCCTTCATTTTTTTGTACCCCTCTGCCCGTCCTTCCTATGGCATCCTCCTCCCCCGAAGAGACAGAGCACCTGCACCAGCGCCTTTATGGAAGACGGAGATGTTCCGAAGTGCAAAGTGAAACCAAGTGCGGGAATGTAGCCATTGGGTCCGCCTCCGCCACCCACTGATTGGCTAATGCCGAGAGCTTTGGGGCGTGTATTGGTTAATCATCCGCCCCCTGGTAGTAAAATGGCATGGCAGATGCTCTTATTCAAGGTGAGTTGGAGTGTGCTGGTGTAGTACAACTGCTGCAGTATCATGCGCATTAACAGAAACCAAAGTCCGCACCTCTTTGGATCTTCTTCTCTATTGTGTGGCTTTCTGAACGGCACATGTGTTGTTCTGGATCTGCGGGGAGATGGGTGACAGTGTCGTGGTGGTGGTGTTTTTTTATTCAGCTTTGATTTGTGCAGTATGAAATTCTGTCTTCTGCGAACTTCCCTACACGTTTCCTCAGGCATGACATTTTGATTCTGATGGAGAGTGTGCATCAGTGGTGCACACACACACACACACACACACACACACACACACACACAAACATACACAGACACACTAAACTAAGGGTGTGGCAATAAGCATCATCATTGTTTAAGATGTGTGCAGTGACTTTAAATAAGCTTTTTATTCATTTATCTGTTCACACTGAGTCACCAGAAAAAAAGTAACAACGGAAAAGCCTGTAACTCTTTCCTCTCTATATAAAGCAGATACCCAGCAAACAAGTTTGTGTTTAATAGACGTTTAATAGACATCTAAATGTAGACTGCTTTACTAAAAACTTTGGCTGTCAGTGAATATCTAATAGACGTCTAAGAATAGCCCAAGACTAGTCATCAAATAGACAGATTAGACAGACTTTAAATGTGTAGTGATTCGTTTCTGTTTATTTGATTAGTCTTGGGCTGTTCTTAGACGTTTTTTGGATTTTCACTGACAGCCCAAATTTTGCCTTGTTTTTGCCAAGACAACTTTAGACATCTTTAAAAAAAAAAAAAAAATGCTTGTTGAGGACTTTCTTTTAGACACTCCATGTTACAAAGACTCAATAAGATAACAACAATAAATAGAATACAAATCACATTTTTGAGAAAGTATATTAATATGTATAACTCCAGATTATCTACAGAAAAATATAAATAAATATTTCCTAAATATTTCCAAAAATATTTCCTAAATGTACACTGTAAACGATTTCTTGTTAAATTAACAGTAAGTTACTGGCAACAATTATCCAGTAGCTGCTGTATTTCATAAAACAGTAACATTACTGTAATACTAATTACATTAGTATTACATTTACTGTAAAATGTAATACATCATTTTACTGTTGTTGATTTTTACTGTAACGCCAATTACAGTAGTGATACACATACTGCAAAACTGAAAACAGTATTTTATTGTACATTTTTACCATGAAGAACTACGGTATTTTAATGTTACTTTCATTATTACTGTATAGTATTTTACAGTTATTAAATGTTATTTTATTTTATTTAATAGTGCTACTTTATAATGGGTAAAAATGTTCAAAAATTGCACAAGTGTTATTTTAACTGTTCAAGAAATACAAGAAAAATAAAGAAACTGAAACTTTAACTTCACAATAAAGGTTTATTGTGTAAACCATGCTAAAACAGTAGCAATTATTCAATATAACAAAGCAACAGAACACTAATAAACAATTGATCATTAAAACCAGTCAACAATTAATGCATCAAAAATTATTACAATTTTAAAAACAGGTGAAAATACTGCTACAAGACAGGAAATGATGAAGGCCAAATGATGTGGAAAGGGACAGTGAAAAAGGGCAGCAGCACTTCTGATGATCCTGCAAAAATGACAAGCAAAATTAATCACTGGAGTAAAAACTAATCATCCCTCAAACCATTTAATTCATTCAGAAACGAAACACTGCACTGTTGTTTTTATATATATATATATATATATATAACAGTTATAATATATATAACAGTTTTTTTTTATTGTTTTTGTTGGTGAAATACAGTTTGTTGTTAATTCACAATTACACTAACGTTAATGGGGAAAAGATCAGCGGGCATTGTTCTTGAAGATCGCTAGTCAGGTGTCCACACAGGTGTGTAAAAAATAAAGTCTCATCTTAACTTAATGTCCGACTCTGTATAGCTCGAATATCTGATTCCATGATCACACTACTAGTGCTTCCACGGATTTAAGAGGGGTAAACACAGTTCATTCTCACTATAAGAGGCTATATATTTAAAATTAAATAAATAAAAATAATCTAATTTAACGTGACTAATGTTAATTAAATACTTTTAGGCTTTTAACACGTATAAATCCACTTCTAACTTACAGATAAGATTGCGTTAGAGAACATGAAAGCCGTGGGTGATTTTTTAAAATAATGCTAATGATGAGTTACTGATATTTGGTTTGCATAAAACAAAGTAATCACTAAGCATTCATTTTTGGCAAAATCTGCAGAGAGGCTCAGCGACACGAGGAAATGTGTTAAAGTTGAGTAGAGAACTAAAGAGCAGTCTAGCCTACTTCATGAAATGTTTGTGGTAATATTCTGCTGTCAATTCGTATTACTGTATTTTAATATGCAACAGTGATGGCATGTCAGTGAGACAAATAAACATTTTATCGAGTCATTTCATACAATTTATTTATTTATTTATTTTTTATACAAACCCTCTAGTGACATTTCCTCAAACTAAATCATCACAACGTTACTGTGCACAGCATCAGTAAAACGTTGAGAATAATTTAAATACTTAATTTTTTAAAACGGTCACTGCTGATTAGAAACTAACATTAAAGCTAAGACTACAGAAATCCTGTATGCATGACAATATAAAGATGTATTACTCACTGATGTCGAAGCACTTCCAGGTCATCAGAGATGTAGACAGGACAGAATATGTGCTATCAAATGAGCTCTTGTGCAGCCTTTGTTGGACATCCAGGCAGTATGTTCACCCACACTGTAAGAAACAAAAACAGAAACAATTTATTAAAATGTGAGGAATAGTAAACATGTTTGGTCTACAGAGAGAAGAAAATGTTTACTTTAAGCATTGATCCTAATGAATCTATTTCTGAACTACATTTAACCTTATCACGGAAACAGCATTTTTGAGCTTTTAGACCAGGGGTGCTCAACCTTGTTTGCTTCAAATTAGAATTAAAACAATAAATCTCTATGTCAAATAAAATACTTCAGATCTAAATAAAGCAGGTGCTTTTACCTAAAGGTTCCTTCCCTCCAGTAAGTTTGGCTGCAAATCCCTCCACATCTGTGCTTTATTCGGTTCTTGTCTTAAGAGTAACTGGTGTCACATTCCAGGTTCATCACAATCTGAGCTAGAAAGACAATATGGCAAAAGACAAGACATATATAAATAAGTCTCAGAATAAAATATTTAAAAGGATAGTTTACTTTTTTGCCACCATTACTCCACGTGTTTTAAATCCATTTAAACTTCTGTTAAACACTAAAGCAGATATTTTGACGAGTGTTAGTAACCAGTAACTATTGACATCCATATTTGAACCAAATTTCTTTAAAAAATACGAGTTTGTGTTCAACGGAACAAATTAAATGTATAACTATTTTGAAACAAGTGGAGGATGCCAAAGATGCTATTATTTTCATTTTGGGGTGAACTGTCCCTTCAATTCAAGTGTCAAGCAATAGTCATAAAAACTGATGTGTCGCTTGAGGAAAACTAAATCAAGTACCTTCTTTGAACAAGCAGAATCATTATGCCATTGTATTCAGTGATTCTCTTTTACATTTTCCCACTATAAAACGATAGCTTCAACATGCAATCCATGTTAACACAAAAATGAATAGCATAAAATAACATATTGAACTAAACTTACAGTTTCCAGGCTGTTTGAAAAAAAAAAACACATACGCCCAGTAAAATTGCTAATAAACACAAAGACAACAGTTATAGAAAAAATTGTTTGTCTAATATTTACTCAGCACTTGGTAGGCAAATAGCATAGCTGTGGCTGTTTTAACACCAGATTTTTTTATCTTAGGAACTGCTGGAAGAAGAAAAAGAGGTTGTACATGAAACTCCTCACAACAAATCTGTGAACAACTTGACATTTAAAAATCTAATCAAAATGAGGAAGACATCAACATTACCTTGAATAATCAAGTGAGGAGTGATTGGTTGCATCAGTTTTTTCAACATCAATTACTGTAGCTGAAAAACAAATAAATATAATAAGAGTAAAATAAGACTTAACATTAATCTAAATCTATGGTACAACCATACCAATCTGTATGGGGTTAAAATACATTTGTACATAAATCATTCCCTGACCCCATCAATTTCACTTAGAATAGGATGGATATATATATATATATATATATATATATATATATATATATATATATATATATATATATATATATATATATATATATAGTGATAATGACTTTGGCTTATATCTGTGTACTCAGAACGTACACTCACCTCAGGTACACCTGAACACCAAAAATTAAATGTACAATTAATGACACGCTATACATCAAGCTCATTAACATTATTGAGAAATAGACAATTAATATGTATTTTGTTAATATTAACGTTAGCTTAAAATAATTCAACTGCATTTAATTTTCAGCTCCATTTAATAAAACAGTTAAGACTCATTTCATTATGAGTTTAGTTTAAATAACTAACTTACAGTTGAAAAATTTTACCATAATGATAGCTTAGTCATAATGACTATGTGAAGACCAGAGCTTACCTTAACGGTAAACGTTTAACTTTTCATGGTGACTTCGCCTTCATCTCAGTGTTGTGCTGAAATAGAGAATTCATTAATGCAGTTACAATAAGTTAAAGTTATGGTTTTTTCAGGTAACTTAACGTATGGTCAAAAACTCACTCAAGATAAACTCACTGTATCTAATACCTCGCAAACACTACAATGACCGCCTGGCGTCTGTTATTTCTTGTTTAAAATACCGTTTGTTAACGGATAACATAAGAACCTACAACTAATGTCACTTGGTTAATTATTTTAAATTACACACACAATACACAGAAATACTTATAAAACAATCCTT